GCCAACGCCCGCTCGGCCCTCCTCGCCCACGCCAGCGCGTTCTACGCGGCCCGCCCGTTGTCCTCCACGCCGGCCCCGCCTCCCTTCAACCCCGCGCTGCTCGGCCCTCCAACGGCCAGGCCCGGCGGGTCTGCCGGCTCCCCGGGCTCTCGTAGGCGCCCGAAGAAGCGCAAGCAGAACCCCTCCGGCCAGCCCGGTTCTGCTTCCGGCGGGGGCACGCCCGGCGGTCTTCTGCCCGCCCCGCGTCTGCCCGCTCCCGCTGCAACGGTGGCCGGCACCTTCCAGGGGATTCTCGGATCCCGCCCACCCGCTCCCGTGCCCCAGGCGCACCCGGCCACGACCACCGTCTCGGCATCACCATAGTGGGATCAGGCCGCCCTCATTGCTGCCCTGAATCAGATGGCTCTACATCCGCCCACTACTCCTGGTGGCGATTGGATCTTCGACAGCGGCGCGTCTTCCCATATGGGCTCCGGCTCTGGTATACCCTTTTCCCCTCCTTCCCCTTCCTCTCCAACCTCGATCGTCGTCGGTAATGGTGCTCTCCTGCCCATCACCGGCGTCGGCTCCACCTCCTTCCCCACCCCCTCCCGCCCACTCTCCCTTCTAGAAATTCTTATCTCCCCCTCCCTTATTAGAAATCTGGTTTCTGTTCGTGCCTTTACTCGTGATAATTTGGTTTCTGTTGAATTTGACCCTACTGGTTTTTCCATCAAGGATCTGGCCACCAAGACGGTGCTTCTCCGATGTGATTCTCCCGGCGAGCTCTACACCTTCACACCACCTCGCCACTGCCTCTCCACCACCGTCACCGCCGACCTGTGGCACCAGCGTCTTGGCCATCCCGGCGCCGCCGTCCTCGCCAAAGCCTCTACATATTTCCAGTTCAATTTCAATAAAAGCACGGCCTCTCATTGTGATGCTTGTCGCTTAGGCAAACATGTTAGGCTCCCTTTTATTTCCTCTTCTTCTCAAACTAGTTTTCCTTTTGAGCTTTGTCATTGTGATTTATGGACAAGTCCTCTCTTAAGTGTATCCGGCTATCAATATTACTTGGTCATTCTGGATGATTTTACCCATTATGCATGGACTTTTCCTATACGTCGCAAGTCCGAAGTTCATTCTCTTCTTACTCGTTTCTATGCCTACGTCAAAACACAATTCTCTCGCCCCATCTTAGCCTTCCAAACGGACAACGGCCGCGAATTCGACAACCTTGCCAACCGCACAGTCTTTGAGTCCAACGGCACCCTTCTACGCCTCACCTGCCCCTACACTTCCCAACAAAACGGGAAAGCCGAACGCATTTTACGCACTCTCAACGACAGGGTTCGCACACTTCTCTTGCACGCTCACATGTCTCCCCCATGGTGGGCTGAAGCCCTCGCCACTTCCACCTATCTCCTCAACCATAGACCTTGCAAGCCTCGCCTCATTACCACACCACACGAGCTTCTCTTTGGGCAGGCACCTGAATTTCGCCACTTACGCGTATTCGGTTGCCTCTGTTATCCCAACTTGCTCGCCACTACTCCCAACAAACTCTCCCCACGATCGGTTGCCTGCGTTTTTTTGGGTTATCCCGATGACCGCAAGGGGTATCGTTGCTATGATCCCCTCACCCGTCGCATAATCTTTTCCAGGCACGTCACGTTCGTCGAATCCGTTTTCCCGTTCAAAACCCTGCCCCCACGCCCGAATCCATCGCTGCATCAGCTCCCGATCCGCCTCCCTTGGATCACATCGATCCTGCATGGGCGCCGCCCCAACCAACCCCTCCCGCATCGCCACATGGATCCCCCATGCAGCCCACACCCACCCCTCCTAACTCGCAGCCCACCACGACCGGGCCTTCCCCGCCTTCCCCACCTGGTGGCCCATCTCCCTCCACTCGATCATCTCCCTCCACTCGATCATCTCCCTCCTCCTCCGCTCCTCCTCCCCCGCCGCCTCCCAGCGCCACACACCCAATGCTCACCCGCGCTAAACACGGCATCTTCTAACCCAACCCTCGCTACGCCAATCTTCAGGCCACCATCCTCTCTCCCATTCCCACTTCCGTCCGCGCAGCTCTCCAAGATCCAAATTGGCGCGCCGCCATGCAGTCGGAGTATGATGCCCTGATGGCGAACTCGACGTGGACCCTTGTTCTGCGCCCACCCAACACTAATGTTGTGACCGGCAAGTGGGTTTTCAGGCACAAGCTGAACGCCGACGGGTCTTTGGAGCGCTATAAGGCCCGGTGGGTCGTCCGCGGTTTTTCCCAGCGCCCCGGCATCGACTTTGGCGAAACCTTCTCTCCAGTTGTCAAGCCGGCGACGATCCGCACGGTGCTCACTCTGGCGTGCTCGCGTGGCTGGCCCGTCCATCAGCTCGACGTGAAGAACGCTTTCCTTCACGGCGTTCTCGATGAGCAGGTGCACTGCTACCAGCCGGCCGACTTCGTCGATGCTTCGCGTCGTGATCATGTTTGTCGCCTCGCCAAGTCCCTCTACGGCCTCAAGCAGGCGCCGCGGGCCTGGTTTCATCGCTTCGCCATGTTCGCCGCCACCATGGGCTTCACTGCCTCCCTCTCCGACGCATCCCTCTTCATCCTCCGGTGGGGTGCTGACGCTGCACATCTTCTTCTGTACGTTGATGATATTGTACTTGCGGCATCCTCGACGCCCCTTCTTCGCCCCATCGTCGACAGGCTCCAACAAGAGTTCGCCATGACAGATATGGGCGCTCTTCACTACTTCCTCGGCATCCGCGTGCAGCGTACAACACGGGGGTTCTTCCTCAACCAGGCCCAGTATGCCGAGGAGCTTCTTCGTCGCGCCGGCATGTCCCAATGCCATGCTGCCTCAACACCAGTGGACACGGCCCCCAAGGTCGCTGCTGCCGCCGGCGCTCCCGTGTCCGACCCGTCAGAGTATCGCAGCCTTGCTGGCGGCTTGCAATATCTCACGATGACGCGTCCGGATCTGGCGTATGCGGTGCAACAAGCCTGCCTTCACAGGCATGACCCGCGGGACAGTCACCGCGCGTTCATCAAGCGTATTCTGCGGTATGTTCGCGGCACGCTCCAGCACGGTCTGCTTCTTCCAGCATCTTCATCGACAGACATCATCGCGTATTCGGACGCGGACTGGGCTGGGTGCCCTGACACTCGCCGGTGTACCTCTGGTTACTGCGTATATCTTGGTGACACGCTCGTCAGCTGGTCCTCCAAGCGACAGGCCATCGTCTCTCGATCCAGTGCAGAAGCAGAATACCGCGTCGTGGCAAATGCAGTTGCTGATTGTGTATGGTTGAGGCAGCTGCTTGGTGAGCTCTCTGTCTCTCCACCAAAGGCCACCGTCATCTCCTGCGACAATGTATCCGCCGTGTACATGTCTACTAATCCGGTTCATCATCGGAGGACAAAGCACATAGAGCTTGACATTCATTTCGTCCGGGAAAAGGTGGCCCTTGGCGAGTTCCGTGTTGTCCATGTTCCAACAGCTCAACAGCTAGCCGATATCATGACGAAGGGTTTGCCGACATCCGTTTTTCAACGCTTCAGGTCCAGTCTCTGTGCCTCCCCAGGCATCGACGATACGACTGCGGCGGGGTGTTAGCGAACGTGCTTCTGTAGTGGTCCTATTCCTTAGGCTAGACTAGTGTCATTCTGTTGTAACAGCCAGTATATATGTACCTGTGTAACCTCAATCATAATCAAGAAAGTGTTGCACGATCCCTCTCTCGCTACCCTCGTTCAGACTCCAACACTGTGAGATCCGACATGATGAACTCGTCCCGATTACCCCAAATTCACCCCACATGTAGGCTGGGTTTGAGGGGTGTTCGACAACCCGAACATACGGGTTGAATACAAGAGAGCCAGTTGAATGGCGTTTATTCGTCCGGTGAGTGTCCAAGCTATCCACACAAACATACGAAGGATTGGCGTCCTGTTAAAGATGCTCTAGCAATCGTCAAACATCTATTCCAAATGAACGCTACGTTTGACGCACAAACCCTATCCGACCCACCACGCATCCGATTCATAACTACATGCGTACGTAGACCATCCTCCGGCATGGTGCCCGTGACCGCTACTAAATCTTCTAGGCACCCACGAAATATATTCCACGGGCCCCCACATGCTAGTCGTCCAAGATACGGACGTATGTTTGCTGCCCTCCCTCCACAGGCGGCCAGGCCAGGAGAGGAGATCGAATAACCAATTGACGTCGGCATCCGATTCCTACCCAACTTTCCTGACCAACAGCACGATCGCAAGATGTCAATCAGCTCCCTCCGTTCATGCATGGGCAGATAGATAATGTTCGAAACTTACGCGCAGCTCGCGCTGAAAGATCGCATGCGCCTTTCGGGCAACTGGCCGATGATGCCTTTCTCGTACGGTTACACAAAGTTTGTTGACTCCTCTTGCATGATGATTTTTCTTCTTCTTTCAAAAGGCAATAAGTAGCAACTTTGACCTCAGCTTCTATGTTTAGCAATTGTATGCGTGGAAATGAAACAAGGCAATAAGTAGCAACTTTGACCGCAGCTTCTATGTTTAGCAATTGTATGCGTGGAAATGAAACAAGGCAATAAGTAGCTTTGACCGCAGGTTTTTATGCTTAAGATACTTGGAGAACTTGTGTGTAAAGAAATGAAATTAAGACTTGCACGAGTGGATGTAATATTAGTAGAGAAGTAGAAATGTACTCCCTCCGTTTCAAATTACTCGTCGTAGGAATGGATGTATCTAGAACTAAAATACATTTAGATACATCCATACCTGCAACAAGTAATTCGGAATGGAGGGAGTAATAGAGAGAAGGCAAGAGTTGAGCAACGAAATCAAGCACAATTAGGAAGCAACACTGGTCCGGTCATGGATCATCTACTAGAGCTAGGTGGTACAGAGAATTAAACACGGCATGTCGGTCGTGGGGATTAATGGCGGGGTTGACCAGGGTCTAGCTACAGCAGTAGAGCCTAGAGGTAATGGCTAGTTACTAGAGCTAGGCGAAGGAGGAGCTCCGTGGGGAGTGGACGGGGAACAGGGGCAGCAGCTTGGGCCTCTCGGCGGCGTCCCCTCCGGCGCCGGGGGCGGCTCTTGGTGAGGAGTGCAGGTAGAAGGCCTTGGAGGCGATGGCCTTCTCCTCCCTCTCCACCTCCTCCTGGCTTATCACCACCCCGCAGGAGCACGACGAGGGCGGCGACGGGGAGGGCGACGAGGCGGAGGAGGAGACGCGGGCGTAGTCCATGGTCGAGACCGGCGAGTACTGCATGAGCCCGTGGTGGTGTTGGTGGTGGTGATGGTGGTGCTGGTGGCCGTGGTGGTAGTAGAACGGCTGCGGCCGCGCGAGCTCCAGCCTGGCCGGCGCCGCCCGCCGCCTCTCCTGCAGCTTCGGCCGCCTCATCGGCACCGCCGGCACCATGGCGGCGCCCGCGGCGTGCTGCATGTCGGTAGCCTGCGCCGCCGCGGCTGCAGCTCCCCCCGGCGCGCCCGTGAGCCTCTGCACGAGCGCGCGGAACGTGGCCGGGTCGGCCTGCACGAACGTGGTGTTGGCGTCCACGTCCACGCAGCCCCTCGCCGCCGCCGAGCCACCGCCCCTGCTCGGCGCCGGCGCGCGAGACGACGACGACGACGGCATGAGACCAGCCGAGCAAGCTAGCTAAGCTGCCTACCTGGCTAAAGAAGAAGCGGGCGGCCGGCAGGAAAGGCGAGGCGGTGTGTGGCAGCACATGCGAGGGCGGGGAGAACGGAATGGAAGGGCTCCGCTCGCCGGCCGGCTGCCTTTTTAAGGGACAGAAAGGGCGCATTAAAGCGCGTAGAGTTGGGATCCACCCATCGCTCGTAGGACGGACGAGGGTCTTTTCTCCCTTTCTTTCTGCGAGCTCCCAACCTTTGCGTCTCTTTATTGCCGTGCGTGCATGTACATGTCCATGGCCGAGTACGTACTACGTAGCACATGTAACATGTCACCACCACCACCACGACGACGACGACTGCTCGAGGCTTGCCATCCATCCATCCATCCATCCATCGCCCCCCCACATGGATGTACATGCATGTGCCTGGCGCAGAAGGATCCATCTTTTCGCCTGGTCCATGAGGCGTGCACATAGGCGCATAGATGGCTACGCACGCGTACGAAAGCTATACGGTGCGGCGAGAGGTCCGTTGATATGAACATGGAGCATGGTGGTGTCGCTTCTTCTTGTCTCATGAGCCTTCTTCACCCTTGATGTATAGCACAGGGTCATCATCGCATGCACTGGGCTAGATGCGTGCCGACAGAGCGAGGCCGGTGCGGTGTCCGCCTGGGCGGCGCCCATGGAGTATAGACCACGGTGTACATGCTTGCGCGAGGCCGGCCGGCATGCATGCGGTACCGTATACGCCTGGCTCTGAGCCTGAGCCTGAGCCAGGCCGGTTGCTTGGCTTAACCGTTGCGCCCAGCGGGTACAGCATACTGCACAGTGCACTGTACCGGCTCGTACTTCGTAGTATCTTACGAGCCAAGTGCGGATCCATCCATGGCTGCCTGCATCTGTAAGAAACAATAGAACCGTAGAGAGTATCCATTCATTAATTACTATACATGCTCTGTCAACGTCAGTGATCAAGCCTACGATCCTGCCATAGCGCGTGTATAACCCATCACCACCACTGATCATCAGTACAGCCGATCGGGCTAATTAATTATCAATTTATCATGTACGGCACGCAAAGCAAAAGAACAAGAAAAGTCATCCCTCGACGCGTTTCTTCTCGCATGGCGTACTGAGACTGAGAGCGCACGTACACATCGGGAATTCGGAATATATGTGCATCAGATGGACGTCGACGGCGGGCTGGCGCGTCACGGACGCGCGTGCGGGGGACCCGGCAGGGGGCCGGGCGGGCTTGCGTGGGGGAAAGAAGAAGCTGTGCAGTGCAGGTGTGCTTGCTTGCTCGCTTAAGTGGGCCGCGGTGGATCAGCTGCGCCGCGTCCGGCGAGAGAGGGGCTGATGGCGACGGCGGCCGCGCCACGCGGAGCGCGCGCTCGTGGCCGGCGCCGGTGTCGCGTGATCGGGCGTGCATGGGGGAGGGGAGCTCGGCTGACCTGTCAGGGTGTCAGGATGGGGCTAGCTCCACGTAGTAGGCAAGTTGACGCGGCTGGGCAGGGGACCCGCGCGCGAGGTCCAGTTGTCCCGTAACGTCCGTCCATGGCTCCATCGATCGATCGATCGATCGGTCACGGGGGTACGTGGATGGCTTGTCGGGGGCCATGCATGTAGCCGATGTGTCGATCATGCGCGTACGCGGCCAACCAGCCACAGCCTCACTCGACTCATGGAGAGAGAGAGAGAGAGTGTGTAGGTCTATTTCGGTTGTTGCATTTCGAGATATTTTTCAAAACCGAGGCAAAAGCTAGGGAGTCCCTACGTCAGAGTATCTATAGCCGGCGTCTCAAACTCGCCTCATACATTTGGCCGGGTAACCGGTCATTAACCAGTCACGATTTTTCGACCCAGACGCACTTCTTAAACGGGCATCAAACGCTCGGGCTGACCGACACCCCTTGTATCGCACGTCCGTCACGTCGGACTCAGACAACCCGATCCCATCGTAAGTTACATCAAATCTACCAAACTCTTCCTCCTCCTCCCGCCACCTTCCGACCTTTCCCGTGCCCGAACCCTCGTCGTCCTCCACCCTTGCTCCCAATCCTCACCACCGGTCCCGATCCATCGCCGGAGATGTCGTCTAGCCTGTCCTCGACCTCCGCAATGGAGACGCACCCCCCCTTGTCCGTCGGTGTTCCTTCATCGGCTTCGACTTGTAAGGCGGAGAACGTCACCCGGAAGTTGCGGCGACGGCGTCACGGGGAGGTTCGGACATGGTGGAGCAACTGCCTCCTCTTGGATGAGCATGTGAAGAAGTGGCTTGCGAACAACAAAAAGAAGATCAACGACCGTAGGGAGTACGAGCAGCGAGGGCGGCTATGGCCCGGATGCAGGTGAAGCAGGCAGCCCGGATGCAGACGGAGCATGACGCATTCCGCTCGGAGCAGTCGCCCGGCCAGTGATCCGAAGCCATCCGTCATGCTCGGATATCGATTTCATTTTGGCATGTTCGGTTTGTTGAACTATGATTTGCTTTGCTTTGTTTCGAACTATTGAATTCAGACAATTTATATCGTATGATCAACATGCATGGATTTGCTGATCGGCATTTGAGGTATGTGGATGTGGGGCGCAATATATGAGGGACCGGCAGGCGATGTTCGCGGACGCGCCCGCAGACGTATAGGGGACGGATTTGACAAGTCCGGTTGTAGATGCTCTCATCCGGTGCTGGTTGAGGAGCCTGCACCGTCAGGAACACGGAGACCGCCGGTGCAGGCTCCTTCTCCGCCATGACAGCCTCCAAGTGCATCTATGCTCGTGCCATGGTGAAGCCTGGTGCGGGCTCGGGCTAGTTGTCGGGTGCCTCCTCATTCGATCGGTCATTGTCTTCCAAGCTTTCATCCGACGAACTCAGTGGTAGTATGGACTATATGTGTCACGCACATTGGGTCTGCCAGCCGTTTGCAAGGGGCACCATCTCGTGGTTCTGCGCCGACGAGAGCTGCTTCCACATCGCGTCGCCGCTCACATTGTGTCGGAGGAAGGTTGTGAGCGGATGATGAATGGAATTGGAGGCTCGCCAGTGGTCCTGAACGGTGGAGGGAAGCGTAGGTGGTGCGGTTCCTGCTGTGCGCGAGGGTGCTTATGTATCACGCACGCATGGCTTATATATCGGGCGCCGGCCAGGGCAAACACCAGTTTGAATGCGGGCTTCCAGAGTGGCCGCAAATTCCATTCAATGTTGGGCGCGTGGACACAGGGAAATTGGCTTCAGTGTAATAGGAAGCCTTCCCATTGCCCAGTTCGGCCGCCTCACTCCGAGCCAGCATTGAACGCGACACGGATAACAAGCGAGCGGACATGTCGCTCTAAGCCGACATCGAACATGACGCGGAGAGCGAGCGATCGGACATGGTGTGGGCGGTGCTCTCAATCGCCGCACCCCTTCAATGCCCGACATGCTGCAGACCGGTCACTTCTGCTTTGGACTGGCATGAATGCAGCGCCTCTTCCCAGCGGTACGGTTGAAGCGGTCGTGCAAGAGAAATGGTCACACGTAAAAGTTTTATGGGTAGGGCCATGCGGTTGGACGCATACGTGGTGGGGGTCCGGACATTCGCAAACCTCCCTCAAGTTTAGTGTCGGTTTGCAACAATTCATACGCATGGACATCTCGATCCAAATGTTTGTGGGCATTTTGCGACACGGGGTTGGAGATACCCTAAGTGCTTGTTTGGATAGTGATACTTAGCCATGCGTTTGTCAAAAACTTGTTTATAGCAGATTTTTAGTAAAATCGGTTTTGCTAGTTTTTCTATGAATAATCAGTTTATGTAGAATCACGTTTGGTGTCAAAAAGGCTAAAAGCTGGCCTATCTAATTTCTTGTTTGGATAACCATCGCTCCCATGAGTATAGGTAGGAGCGGGCCGTGAGAAACGAGCGCATCATGAGAAGTTCAGTTACGATCCAGTATATGTGAAACGCGTTTTTGGAAAAACCACTAGTAGTCGTTTTTCCATAACCATGAAATTCTGGGTTTCCTAGGAACATGTTCTTTATATCCACGGATTAGTTAGAGTACCCAAACAAGATTTTTTTCTGTTGGACGGTTTTCCTAGTTTGTAGAGATTGCATTCTATATATTCTGTCTACCCAAACAACCCCTAACAGAGGTTTGAGTGAGGTTCATTACACCTCAACAAAAATGAAAACACACAGCGGCCTTGATACGTCTCCAACGTATCTATAATTTTTAATTATTCCATATTGTTATATTATTAATCTTGGATGTTTTATAATCATTTTATAGTCATTTTATTTCATTTTTTGATACTAACCTATTGACATAGTGCCAAGTGCCAGTTGCTGTTTTTTTTCATTTTTTTACATCACAGAAAATCAATACCAAATGGAGTCCAAACGCAATGAAACTTTGCGGAGATTTTTTTGGACCAGAAGGAACATAACGGGCCCTGGCCGCGCTTGGGGGGTGCTCCGAGGAGAGCACAACCCACCAGGGCGCGCCAGGAGGCCCAGGCGCGCCCTGGTGGGTTGTGCCCACCTCGGGTGCCTCCCGGACCGCCTCTTTGCTCTATAAATACCCCAATATTTTAAAAACCCTAGGGGAGTCGACGAAATATTGATCCAATCTAGACACCATCCCGGATGGGGTTCACCATCTCCGTTTGTGCCTCTCCGATGATGCGTGAGTAGTTCTTTGTAGACCTTCGGGTCCGTAGTTAGTAGCTGGATGGCTTCCTCTCTCTCTCTCTTGATTCTCAATACAATGGTCTCTTGGAGATCCATATGATGTAACTCTTTTGCGGTGTGTTTGTTGGGATCGATGAACTTTGAGTTTATGATTAGATCTATCTTTTTATATCCATGAAAGTATTTGAGTTTCTTTGGTCTCTTTTATGCATGATTGCTTATAGCCTCGTATTTCTTCTCCGATATTTGGGTTTTGTTTGGCCAACTTGATCTATTTATCTTGCAATGGGAAGAGGTGCTTTGTAGTGGGTTTGATCTTACGGTGC